TTAGGATTTAGGGCTGAGGGTTTCTTGGGGAGAAATTAGGGATATATGAGTTAGTTCCACGAGGAGGTCTAGGAAGGTATGGGGGATAAGTTGCGCAAATTCCATACAGCGAGCTTCGTGTTCTTCGAAAATGGCAGGAATAAGAGTAGCAGCTAAAGCAACGGTCAGACAGGAATACTCGTGGCACAGATGTTGCATCAAGGAGTTCTTGACATGTCCTGCTTGGGGTGGTATGCCGTGATCTCGCAAAAAAGAAGCATGCTAGTGCATCATGGGCTCTGGTCTCAGAAGCCCTGAACTGAAAATCAAACCCCAATTGCACCCCAGACTGGCTTTTTTCTTGGGACAGAAGGAAGGAATGCATTTGTTTAGGGTTCAGGGTTTATCCCTTGTTGGGGTTAGTATAGCTAGAACGAAGAACTACATGCAACAATGACCCCGGAGCCCCTTTGCCCTTAACCTTTGTCCGCGAGCCTCATCCTCGACAGTGACCTCAAAGTTTCCTTCCTGTACCTCAACTGGGGGTGCATCAACATGCTCCCCCCGTTCCTACGCTTATGCATAATAACTTGTAACCCCACATGACCTCTGATCTTTAAGGACGGTCATCTACAAAGCGCCCTGATTCAGGTGACATGTTAGTTTGGGGGATGGCAACTTTGAAGCTTCCCTCAGGCACCGGTGTAGGGTTTAGGGTTCAGAGCTTGAGAACCCCCAAGATGGATTCGGTAGGATTATTTCGAGAAGCTGCCATTTACACTGTATTCACTGGTAAGACCCTAAACCCTCATTCTGTGCGTTAGATGTTACCTCCTGCCATGGATGCGAATACTCCTGTTGTACAATATGTGACTGGGTTGTCATCTCAATCTCATGGGAGTGTGGCGCACCCAGATACTGGGTTGCTGTTAAGGAATTTGAATTAAGTTACTATAGTGGGGGTATATATATATGTATAGTCCTTAATATGGGTTCCCCAATGTTGTAACTCAAACGAAGTTCCTTGACAGCAACCCAGGATATTAGGCTGATAAATCATTACTTCCTGCTCAAACAAGAATCCATCTACGGCAAAACATATCTGCTCCCCTACACCTTCAACTACCGGCACTACTACACTTCTGGAACTACTGCGACTCCTCTCTCTCTCTCTCTCTCAGCTCGGCTTGCCTCAGACATGCATTCAACTCCTCCCTAGTCCCATACCCTTCCCCGAAAGGTCCAAGTACGCAGTAATCACATACTTCCCCAAGACACGCATACTGCAGTTACTGCTACCCAAATCCCAAGCACGGAATTATTGGGCACATGGAACCTAGACTCAATGTAACCCATATGTTCTTAACCACCCCTATACATCCCACAATACCCCCACACATCCGTATAAATTGATGAAGGCCCAGAATACCCCTACACATCCCTAGGCACTATCCCCTACACCTACACCCTATACAGGGATTTAAACAGCTGGACCATCAGGGTTGGGAGGCCACTGGGCCCGCGGCAATGTAGAAGAAATCGGCTTCAAGATCACCCTCCTAGCTTCAGGAAGATGGCTTAGACTTACCTGTAACCCCAATTACCTACAGTTTCATGGATCATACCTGAGCCTGTAGATCAGGCTTAGGACTTACCTAGACCTCCCAAATATCCAGAAAACAGCCTTGAAGCCCTAAATAATGGATATGTAGGCCGTTATTATGGGTATCTGGAAGGTCTAGGTAGGCTGTACAATGGGTTTGAGTGAGGTACTCAGTACGGCGATCAGTGTTTGTGATCAGATGCTTGGCGTACTGGTGGAGAAGTCGGTGTCTAGGGCTCATGTTTTGGGGTCTTTGCATCTGAAATGTAGCCTTGCATCAATGGAACAAACAAACATGGGGGTCTCCCAAAATTAGGGGTACCTTATTTGAGGGCGTTACATGATAAGGAATATATAATTTTGGGGTCTATACTGGGAAACTACCACATGCAACCTCACGCGTACCCTCTAAACCCTGAACCCAAAGCCCGCCGAGACCCCAAGCCTTCCACCCACATCCTTTGGCCAACTGTTACTTTGGGGCGCATGTCAATTCAAGGGTTCCGGATAGGGGGTACTGAGACTGTCGCTCTTTGCAGTGGGTTTGGGGTTTGGGGCCTAGGGTTTAGGGTTAGGGTAAAGCACTGGGTTCTGTAAAGCCATACACAGGAGAGGAACACCCAACCTGTGACCAGGCAACATATGTCACAACTACCATTTGAATCCGTAAGGGTCCAAGTACCCAAAGATCAAATACCAGTCAGCGTAGATTTCATCATGTACCAAGCCTATCCAAAGAACTCCAGATGCAGGGAGTGGCGTCTGAGGTGTAGGGTTTTAGGGTTCAGGGTTTAGGGTGTAAGGAGACCACAGATAAAAACAGGAGGCCGGGCCGGCGATATGAAGATTTCTCCTCATAAAGCTTGAAAAGGGTTCTCAAGGAACCAAACATTCCGGAATCAAAGAATGTATCTTGCAGCATTCTTTCAGCAATATTCCTTAATCACAGGGTATGGGGCACTCTGTTTAAAGTGCACATGTTGCAGAGTTTCAGTTCGAGACCGTAAGGGCCCACGGAATGACAAAGGAATTTGGAAGGTTTCCCCTTTGAGAATTTCATACCATGATGCTGCACGTCTATAAAGACACCTTCCATGTGGCTTGTTCAATCCTAGTTGAGGTGTATGTAGGTAATTAGCGCCCAGCTTCTGTACGTCACTGCCCTATAATTACTTCGCTGGCTTTTGCAACATCCTATCTCCCTGCAAACACTTTTCTGGTGCGGGAGTTCAGAAACTGGATTTCGCACGCAGCACACGTCTCGAAAACATGTCTAATGTCGATTCCTGAAGGGCCAAAGCATAAAGTATAAACCCTAAACCTTACACTTACACCCCTAAACCGTAAACTCTAGCCCCCTAAACCCTAAACCCCAAGAACACTTAGACGGGACTCATAGAGAAACGCAGGAGGTTCTTAGAGGGTGTGTCCTGCAGACCCTGGGGAATCTCCCCGAGCACTAGCAGGACTTGTGGCACTTCAATAAGGAATCTGCATTAGATCATATTAATTAAGGGTCCTAATGTTATTTAAGGTATTTCCGGTATTTACCCAAAATCAAAGTACATTGCGATCCTTGTGTAATTTAGGGCATTGCCCCTGATCAAGGGATTCATTGCACATTCTGGATATTGCACCCAGCCACCCAGTCATCCGGCCACCGCACCTTGATGACGACCTGCTCCTCCTGAACCTCCTCCTTCCACGCGACATCTATGATGTCCTGGCAGTTTCGGTTTAGGGCTTAAGGTTTAAGGTTTAGGCCCCCAAATCGACCTCTATATACTACAATCCCTATTGCGGTGGCCCCACAAAGACCCTTAGCAGCTGAGACAGCAAATTTCTCGTGCATTCGTATGGGTCAACGCCATGGTCCTCCGTCTGGGCGGGTCTTGTATAAGAAGCCAAGCATCAGACCAGCTCCCGGGTCAAAACGACTTTCCTCTAATGTACAGTGATACGGATCATGGGAAAGGGTATTATGAAGAAGATGGTATTCTAGTGCTTTCTTGCATGAAATGTGTCGAGAATCCTTTGACGAGATTCCAGCTTTCAAAAGGCAAGGGGCCGACATGGGGTACAGACGAGAATGCCCACATTACAGGCAGAAAGCCAGATCACAGGCAAGCGCTCATCCCGCGCAAGTTGCAGGCATACCGCACATCGGCTGCTTCAGCTGGGTATCCTGAGACATCCTAACAATCAGCTGAGCATCTTGTGCTATTTCAGAGGCTGAAACAAAGCCAGGTGAGGAAAATGTTCTATGTAAAGCTGCCACTAGGTGTCCCTCAGCCCTTCCCAACAAGTCAAAGTTACCAGAGTTTGGCTTCAGGACCCAAATACTCTAGCCTGCAAGGCGTTTGAAACCCTATCTCATGTATTGTCACCCCAGTTGGCTAGGCAACCTCTACCTGCATTCACCAAATCCCAAAAGATGTCTGTATACCCCCACCAAGACACTAACAAAACCCTACCTCATTTGTGATCCCTTAGTGGTCCTTTACACGCTGGTCATCTAGGACGACCATCGAATTCCTGGGCGCTCAAGCTTTAAATCACAAAGAGACATGGAACCTGCGAAGGGGCCTTCGAATCTGCATGGGGCCCATCTGAGTCATTGTCTAAACTCCTAATATCCCCCTTAATAAGCCCTATAATACTCCCCTATATAATCCCTATATAATCCCCTATATAACAGCCCTTAAACAGTTTAGACTATAGCTCATCTGGGGTTCCATATTCAAGGGAGGGTAGCAAAAAACACGGACCTCATACTCTTTACCATTTACCTGCAGCTGTTGGACCGTAACCTTGCTGGGGTCTGCGCCAACCTGAAACAAGGTACTTTGCAGATCCTGCTGAATGACTCTGAAGACAACCATGATTATGGCACACACCCTGTAAGATAATGATTGTTCGATATCACGGTTGAACATGACTTTTATCTACTGTTGCTAGTCTTACTCCCGTATGTCAGTCAAGTAGTGCGTCCAAGCTTCAAGCTTTCATTGCTTAGCAATGCTCTCCGCATTAACTCACGCTCATCTTCGGTCTTCTCCTCAGTCTGCCCAAGCAAGATTCATGAAGAAGGGTTTTAATAGCTGGGCAATGTGAACAACGATATCCATTTCTTATGGAGCCTACAAAGCCTGAACCTCAAACCCGCAAAACCTACATCGGAAAGCAACTGCTCAAGTAGATTTTCTACAAAGCCTGACGGTCCGACCATGCATTACCGGCTGCTACGGCGGTCGCGGCTGCTGCTGCTGCTACTGCTGCTGCCACTGACTTTACTACTACACCACCACTGCTGCATCTTGGACGTTTGTGACTTCTACTACATTATACGACTAACGAAAACTACTTCGTCTTCTGCAATTTCCACTACCACCATCATTTCCACTTGCGCTATCGCTACCGCCACCGCCGCCCGCCGCTGCCACCGCCGCCACTCCGCCGACACCCTCCCCCGCCACTCACCACCACCACCACCATCACCCCCCTTATTCCCCCTCCTGCCGCTACTAGAGATCCTGTAGTGACCGCTGCGATTACCTTTATGGCAACCATTTCTTCTGTCCCCAGTTTAATCCGAAATCCTAAGCCCTATGAGCCCTATGAGCCCTATAAACCCTGTAAACCCTAATACTCATATATAGCCCTGAAAATCATAAGCCCTGTACGCGAGCTGCATCTGACAGGGGGCAGTCTTCTCCCTCTGCTCCACTGCCGCAGTTTTCCCTGCGCCCACAGCCTGGCCAGAGGTCAAGGTGTAACTTGCAGACTGCAAAGAACCTTTACCCTCAGGCTTGGAGGAGTATAACATAATTATGTAGTTTGAACCCTTTTGGACAGGGGTCTTCGAGTAGTAGGGGCTCCTTTTTTGGTGGTCTTTTTGAAAAAATAGAGTCTTGCGGTGTGGTTGGCCTCTCGTTTTGGAAGTCCCCTCCTGGTCATTCTCGGGCTATAACCAAACCCTGAACCCTAAACCCTAGAAATCCTAGCCAAGTAGGTGCCGCAGGTTCTGCGTAGACACCAGTACAGAATTGAATCGTTGAGCACGCGCTGCGGAGCTGCCTGATCTTGAATGTACCCTGCGGGTCCTTCGCTTGATATGAAAATCAGGCATGCCCCGACGTACCCTTTATTTTCAGAAACGTGGCAATGTAGCATAGTTATTCAGATGATGCCAGAGATTGAACATCAACTTTAGAACCCAAGGAGCTACAGCTTCAGGTGCCGAAAGCCATTCATGTCACAGATATTGGGACCTGAAAGCCCTGCAGTTTGGGCTTATTGGCTCCTTTGGGTTGTACAGCCAAGTCAACCCAAGGACAACCAGCACCGGCTTTCGGTTTGAGGGGGTTGAGGGAAAAACCTGAACCCTACCTGTTACCAAAGTTACCTATGTTTCAGAGCTTACATTTATGAAGTAAGGGGTGATTGCTACTAACCTGTATGTAATTGGGGTTATAGGTAATTCAGCAGACGCCTTTAGGGAGACGACGTCAAGGCCTGCCACATCCTCTGAGTGCTCAGGGCTTCCCAAATCCTAGACCCCAAAACCGCAAACATTTAGGGTCCAACCACCCTTTTGCAGACCTCTGAGCTAGCGTGAGCTACCAGCAGAAAAGCCATAATGCTCTTTCATAATATGTCCTAGGACCTAGAATACATGACAAGACCATTCCTCAGGACAGGCAGCTGGTAACGCTATCCACGGCTTTCCAACTAAAGACCCTGTAAGGGCCTAAATAAGATTGGAAAATGATACGGGAACCAGGTTTATGTAATGGTACTTCGAGAAGCGTGAATCATCACCCATACCATGATGAGGTCTATATGAGGTAAGCTACACTTACTTGTTGTTAGTAGAGAACACGGGAAGTAATTACTTGATTATATATATATTATTGTGGCCTAATATAAGGTTTAAATTCCTTCCGCCCTACCAACAAGCAGGAAGTATAGTATACTCGAACTAAAAATGCAGAACCGTTACATTGGTAACTATTTCGGCTCGTACATTCCACCTGGACAACATATGAGCTACAGGCAATATTTCCTACATGATTTAATGGACATGGGTTCCTCACTTGAGTGGCTTTTTTTGGGTGGCTGAACCTAGTAAGATTCTATTCCTTATATAAGATACTCTACCCCAAAAGGAGGATATAATCTTACTCTATATTGGGCACCATAGTATCCACAAATGAAACACCACTCACTTGGGAATACATTCCAAACTACATGAGGGACCCCTATGTCAACGGCCAAGGGTTCGTTAATAAGCCGAATATTGACAATAGCTCATATCAACCCTGAACCCTAAACCCTGATATCCAAACGCACGCCCCTAGACCCTAAAGGGACCCTCTGGGACCTTGGGGCAACATAGACCGGGCAAACCCTCCCCCCCCCCCCAATTTTTGAAACCTCAGAATCGAAAGCCTGTAAATCCTACATATACCTATACGTATGTATATATATATATATGTACGTGTAGCTATATACCGTCGTATACCGTTTTCACAGAACCTAGCACAAGCCCCACCCCCCCACCCCATTTTTGCTAAGCCTAGACTCGAAAGTCTGTCAATCCTACATATACCTATCCATGTATGTATGTATATATATATATGTATATACCAATCTATTTACCTGTATCCTTTATATCTAGCTATATACCGACGTATACCCTATGAAAACCCTTTCACAAAATCACCCCTAAACTTTCTGGAAACCACCCCCGCCATGTCCCTGACCTTGCGGTTGGCGAAGTGAAGCTTTTCGTGGAGGCCCAGCTCACGGAATTTGTCCCGCGTCAGCTTCAGTGTGCCTTCCAACAAGGCGCAATATGGCAAGTAGGGAATATACCCTAGATGATACTAGTTACTAGGATTCCTAAGATGATTTCGGGTGTATTCCCTTATTGGGGGATATGGAGGTTTCTGGGTTGCTGGGTTGTTCTTTCTGGTTGGTAGAACTGGGGAACTGGAAAAGAAAGCAGAAAATGAAACGAACAGTAAAATGGAGACTGGTGGCTTACAGGTAATCATTTGGTTTGTGTTTGGGGGTTTAGGGATAACTCTCTGGTTAATAGTCAATAGGGATGGCAGGGATGAACAAGAACATGAAAGCCAGTATGTGGGAGTGAATGCTTAAGGTGCTTAATCTATAGTCTCCTTAGACCTAGAATGACAAATGTGTTAATAATCCCTTAGGGTTGTACTAATATATTCCGAAGGGGACTACAGTAATAGGGAACGGAGGAATAAATCAACACAGAAGCTACCATGCAGGGCGTAGCGTCTACGGTGGTTAGGTGGCAGGAAATGGAGGAATAGGACCCTATGGGCAGGTTTATGGGGGTTCAGGGTTTTAGGGTGCAGGGCTCACGTTTTAGGATTTCTGGGCTTGGGGCGTTACTCAGTTACTCACTGGTGATTAGTTTGCAGATGAAAGACGAAAATCAAGGGGAATAAAAATCTGTAAAGGTCCATTGCTCCATCCCTGCAATTTTACTCCAGAAACTCTAAACCCTAAACCCGTTACAATGTCACATCCCAGGCGCTGAGGTTGGTGGCGGCCGTGATGGTCGCTGTCCGCGGCTCATCTCGAAGGAGCGCCTCAGATGCTTGGAGCACGGACAATTACCCAAAGGGTCCAAGTACCCAATATTTAGGCACTTGGGTTTAGGATAGTAGTAATTATAATATAGGTTTTGGGTAAGTGTATGATTATTGGATACTTGGACCCTTAGGGTTACAAGGTTGATGGCTAGTTCAGGGTTGATGGCGGGTTGAAGGTATGTAGGCGTTAGCCTTTCTCGTTCTTGTTTTTGCTCAAACCCAAACCAGCAACCCTAGCGAAGCCTGCAGAGATGGTAGAAACCCAGAGTCGAACGCATAACCCCAGCCCTTTAAAGCTCTATTTAACTCTATAATACCGTATGTCGGCCCATATAACCCTGCAGCTCCTTTAAAGGGACTCTCCGCCAGGTGGTATGATGTTTTCTTTTTCCCATCCCTGTCAACATGCCTAATTGCAATAAACATCCCAATCTCATCCCCAGGTGGTGCGGGTGGTTGTTTTTCTTCAGTATAACTGTCATCATCCTTGGTTCCCAAATCTCAAATCATGATAAATCGCTTAGATCCTGCCCCTGCTTCCACAGGTGAGGCCAGTCTTGGAGAAAGCCACACTGGCCTCGAGCTGTCGGAAACCTGCACTTAAGCTTCCCAAGTCGTTGAAATCTTCCTCCTGCCCCCGTGAGTAGTTGCCATGTCGCTGCCAGGCGCCTGGTGTTCGAGAGCCTTTTCCGCTATGACGGCGAGGGGGTTGGGGCAGGGGCCGGGGGTAATCCCGCTCGTGTAAAGCGAACACGATCTCAAGATTTCCGTAGAGATCAAATTGCTGTTCACTTCAGCTGCTGCAACTGACACATTAAGATTGACTGAGTTTGCTGAGATTGCCCAACTAATCTGGATGCCTCCTATGCAGTCGCCATGGCTGCTATGTGTACCTACTCCGCCTTAACAACGCAGACTCCCGTCTGCTGGATGGTTTGGACATGTTTGGACTGCCTGATGGTTCTATGTATGCGGCGCGCGTGCCCGGCAGGGTGCTCCAAGTTTCAGGGAGTGGGGCGCAAGAGCTGGTCTCAGGACAGCCCGCGAGTTTTGGTGAGCAAGCTCTCGTGCTCTTGGCTGTGTGACACCACAGAATGCTCCCCAGCGGCAGTTGCAAAAAAAACACTCAGAACGTGCTTGCCAAAGTAATTTCGGGGATTCCAAGAAGCGCACCTCCCTTGCCCCTTGCACCTATTCCTACCGTGCCCTGCAGTCTGGCTTCTTGGGGCCCTTGAAAACGCCAAGCGCCACATGGGACGAAGCTGAGTAGTTTTCTCTCAGCACTGCGGCGTGGTCGTGGGGGGCATGCACCATCCCTGGCGACATCAAAAGCGATGTCAACTGCGAGAATTTTGACCCAGACACGCACCTTGCCCGTTATTGTTGGCATTTGTGAGGTCTGCAGCATCAAAAGCAACAACAGCTTCGAGATACGAGGATGGTGACCCAGATGTGCACAATCCCGACAGACTCATTTTGAGGATGCCAACGAGCGGATGGGGGATACCAGGCGGGGATGGTGAACCGTGCACCGGGATCATACATACCAGTATATCCATAAGCCCTCGGGTACTAGGACTCTCGAGGATACGAAGACTTGACCTCTAAAACCTATAGACCCTGAATTGCGAATACTTAAACCCTAAGCCTGGAAAACCAGAACAGAAACCCTATCCCTAAGCCCCAATGCCTAAGCCCTACACGCGAAGTTTCAAGCCCTAAACACTGCTTTCTAATAATTAATTGCAAGCTTACCGGGTGCCCGGGCTGCCTCCCCGAAGTAGTCGCCCGCGGTCAATGTGGCCACCTGCTGGGCTGCCTGGTCATCCTGGGTGAGGTATGCCATCACACTAGGGGTTTAGGGTTTAGGGGAGGGTTTCGGGTCTATAGGAACCAGAACTTGTGGTCTGGTGAAGGGTTTGGGTTCAGGGTCTCGGGCTTAGGATGCCGAATTTCATGTATAAGCTACCTGACTAGCAGACTACTGGACTATGCGGGATAAGGTATACGACCTAGAAACCATCATTCAGGTAACTGGGGCACGAGGATACGCAGGCCCCAAAGCTAGGTACGCTTCATGGCTTTGGGCAGGCATGCTACGATGCAGTATCGGATACTTCTTTTTTTTTTTTTGCGTGG